CCCCACTCACCACACTCACACACCACACTCACCACACTCACACACCACACTCACCACACTCACACACCACACCCATACACAACACTCACCGCACTCACACACCACACTCACCACACTCACCACACTCACACACCACACTCACACACTCACACACCACACTCACCACACTCACACACCACACTCACACACCACACTCACCACACTCACACACCACACTCACCACACTCACTCACCACACCCACACACCACACTCACCGCACTCACACACCACACTCACCACACTCACCACACTCACACACCACACTCGCCACACTCACAAACCACACTCACCACACTCACTCACCACACCCACACACCACACTCACCACACTCACCACACCCACACACCACACTCACCGCACTCACACACCACACTCACCACACTCACAAACCACACACAGCACACTCACCACACTCACCACACTCACACATCACACTCACCACACTCACACACCACACTCACACACCACACTCACCACACTCACACACCACACTCACCACACTCACTCACCACACCCACACACCACACTCACCGCACTCACACACCACACTCACCACACTCACCACACTCACACACCACACTCGCCACACTCACAAACCACACACACCACACTCACCACACTCACACACCACACTCACCACACTCACTCGCCACACTTACACACCACAATTACACACCACACTCACCACACTCACACACCACACTCACACACCACACTCACCACACTCACACACCGCACTCACACACCACATTCACTCACCACACTCGCCACACTCACCACACTCACACACCACACTCGCCACACTCACCACACTCACACACCACACTCACACACCACACTCACCACACCAGACTCACCACACTCACACCACACACACACACTCCACTCACCACACACACACACCACACACACCACACTCACACACCACACACACCGCACTCACTCACCACACTCACCACACTCACACACCACACTCACACACCACACTCACCACACCAGACTCACCACACTCACACCACACACACACACTCCACTCACCACACACACACACCACACACACCACACTCACACACCACACACACCGCACTCACTCACCACACTCACCACAATCACACACCACACTTACCACACTCACCAACCACAACTACCCCACTCACACCACACTCACCACACTCACACACCTCACTCACCACAATCACACACCACACTCACCACACTCACACACCACACTCTTACACCACACTCACCACACTTACACACCACACTCACCACACTCACACACCTCACTCACCACACTCACACACCTCACTCACCACACTCACACACCACACTCACCACACTCACCACACTCACACACCACACTCACCACACTCACACCCGCACTCACCACACTCACACCCGCACTCACCACACTCACACACCACACTCACCACACTCACACACCACACCAACACACCACACTCACCACACTCACACACCACACCAACACACCACACTCACCGCACTCACACACCACACTCATACACCACACTCACACACCACACTCACACACCACACTCACCACACTCACCACACTCACACACCCCACTCACCACACTCACTCACCACACGTACACACCACACTCACCACACTCACACACCACACTCACCACACACACCACACTCATACACCACACTCACACACCACACTCACACACCACTCATCACACTCACCAACCACACTCACTCACCACACTCACACACCACTCATTACACTCACCACACTCACACACCACACTCACACACCACACTCAGACAGTCACACACCTCACACACCACACTCACACACCACACTCACCACACTCATCCCACTCACACACCACACTCACCACACTCACCACACTCACCAACCACACTCACCACACTCACACACCACACTCACCACACTCACACACCACACTCACCACACTCACACACCACACTCACCACACTCACACACCACACTCATACACCACACTCACCAAACTCAAACACTCACACACCACACTCACACACCACACTCACCACATTCACACACCACACTCACCACACTCATCACACTCACACACCACACTCGCCACACTCACACACCACACTCACACACCACACTCAGACACTCACACACCACACTCACCACACTCACCACACTCACACACCGCACTCACCACACTCACGCACCTCACACACCACACTCACACACCCAACTCACCACACTCACTCACCTAACTCACCACACTCACACACCACACTCATCACACTCACCACACTCACACACCACACTCACACACCACACTCACACACCACACTCACACACTCACACACCCCACTCACCACACTCACACACCACACTCACCACACTCACACACCACACTCACCACACTCACACACCACACCCACACACAACACTCACCGCACTCACACACCACACTCACCACACTCACCACACTCACACATCACATTCGCCACACTCACAAACCACACTCACCACACTCACCACACTCACACACCACACTCACACACTCACACACCCCACTCACCACACTCACACACCACACTCACACACCACACTCACCACACTCACTCACCACACCCACACACCACACTCACCGCACTCACACACCACACTCACCACACTCACCACACCCACACACCACACTCGCCACACTCACAAACCACACTCACACACCACACTCACCGCACTCACACACCACACTCACCACACTCACAAACCACACACAGCACACTCACCACACTCACCACACTCACACATCACACTCACCACACTCACACACCACACTCACACACCACACTCACCACACTCACACACCACACTCACCACACTCACTCACCACACCCACACACCACACTCACCGCACTCACACACCACACTCACCACACTCACACACCACACTCACCACACTCACTCACCACACCCACACACCACACTCACCACACTCACACACCACACTCGCCACACTCACAAACCACACACACCACACTCACCACACTCACACACCACACTCACCACACTCACTCGCCACACTTACACACCACACTTACACACCACACTCACACACCACACTCACCACACTCACACACCACACTCCCCACACTCACACACCGCACTCACCACACTCACTCACCACACTCACACACCACACTTACCACACTCACACACCACACTCACTCACCACACTCGCCACACTCACCACACTCACACACCACACTCACACACCGCACTCACCACACCAGACTCACCACACTCACCACACTCACCCCACTCACACCACACTCACCACACTCACTCACCACACCCACACACCACACTCACCGCCCTCACACACCACACTCACCACACTCACCACACTCACACACCACACTCACCACACTCACTCACCACAGTCACACACCTCACTCACCACACTCACACACCACACTCACCACACTCACTCACCACACCCACACACCACACTCACCATACTCACACACCACACTCACCACACTCACCACACTCACACTCACTCACCACACTCACCACACTCACTCACCACACTCACCACACTCACACACCACACTCACACACCACACTCACCACACTCACTCACCACACTCACCACACTCACTCACCACACTCACCACACTCACTAACCACACTCACACACCACACTCACACACCACACTCACCACACTCACTCACCACACTCACCACACTCACTCACCACACCCACACACCACACTCACCACACTCACACACCACACTCACCACACTCACACTCACTCACCACACTCACACACCACACTCACCACACTCACTCACCACACTCACCACACTCACTCACCACACTCACCACACTCACTCACCACACTCAGCACACTCACTCACCACACACACTCGCCACACTCACACACCACACTCACCACACTCACTCACCACACTCACCACACTCACACACCACACTCACCACACTCACCACACTCACACACCACACTCACACACTCACACAGCACACTCACCACACTCACTCACCACACTCACACACCACACTGCAGGTCCACACACTTCAGCATCTCCCCTCGTGCTGGGCCCGTGACCTCTGCCCGTGGCCCATGAGCCGGCACTTTGGAGGCATCAGCGAGGGTTGGTGGATGGCAACACAGATGGGCTGTGACAATCCCTTCCTGTGTGCGTCGAGGAAGAGCCGTGCCCCTGCCTCGCCAGGATAATGCGGCACAGCAACAAATATAGACTCCACCTGCCCTGTCTGTATGTGATCGAGTGTTTCCCCCTCGCACTCGTGGGTTTAATCCGGGTGCTTCGGTTTCCTCCCACATGTAAAAAAAAAAAACCCATCATTAATCGTCTGATAAGACCTTCATCCCTAGAACACCGCAGAGCTTGGGAATTGTTGGGAATTGTTGTCTGCCTTGCTGCTGATCTGCGGTTCCTTCTCTCGCCTCTGAGTCGTTCTCTCTCTCTCTCTCTGTCTTTCTACGAGAGCGAGCGAATACTGCGCAGCGTGTTAGAAGTTGAAACTATTATTACTACTACTACCACCACTACCTGCCGCTCCACCTTGGAATTCCCTGCCATCGTTAACCGCACCCCACCGCCAAGTTCTACAAAGAACCTTGGCTCAATTCAAGAGACGCGTCAACTCTCTCAGCTTAACATGAGAGAGTGCTGTTTGTTGCTGGCCCACCTCGGCGCGCTCAACGACCGTGGCGTTTCGGCTGTTCGTGCCGTGGGGCTGAGGAAGCGGAGCTCGCGGGTGTGTGGGTGGGGGGAGGGGGGGCTTCGTTTCCCTGCATCTCGAGTTCCTTCCTGGCCGCTCAGTCGACACTGCCCCTCCAAATCACCTCGCCACCCCCGCCCCCCCCCCCCCCACACACACTCCCCTCTCCAAGTCTCCACCACCCTCCCCCCCCCCCACACACACACACACACACCGAGCTTCTTAAAATAATAATAATAAAAAATAATAATTGTATTAGGGGGCAGCTGTTTTAAGGGAAGGCGAGCGGAACGCAGCGCCCAGAAAGCAGAGGGAGTGGCGAGCAGAGAGGGCTGAGTGGCCGAGGGAGCACGGCCCCGGCGTCCCGATGGAGCGATCACGGAACGGACCTGCGGAGAGACTCTGCGTCTGACGTGGCGGGTGCGCCGCTCGATTCGCGCTCCTCGGGAGAGGAGAGGGAAGGGAGCGACTTGACCAGACAAACCCCGCCGCTGGGTCCGTGAAGTCCTCTCGAGCGGCGACGCCGAATTTACGCCCAGGGGTCGCGGAATTCGCGGAACCTGCATTTGCGCAAAGCTTCGGAAGCCGCGCGCGGTTCTTGCGTAAAAAGAAAAGAAAAAAAAAGCAAACACAAACTTTACGCAATTCGCCGCAACTACTCGCGACCAGGGGCAGCACAGGGAAACGTGCGGCGAGCGAGCGTCTACAAAGAGCAGCTGGAACGGGGACTTCTGCTCTGCGAGAGGTTTCACCGCGGAACTCACCACGATGCTGGTGACGTGTTGGACGCTGTTCTTCTCGCTGGCGTGGTGCGGGGCGCTTGGTGCTGGAGCGTTTTCCTCGAGCCAATCGTCCGCTCGGGCACAGCAGCAGGAGCAGCTACAGCAGCAGCAGCAGCAGCTACAGCAGCAGGAGCAGCTACAGCAGCAACAGCTACAGCAGCAGGAGCAGCTACAGCAGCAGCAGCTACATCAGTCTCACAGTGATGCGACTCAGGTTGGACTCGATGCGCGCCTCCCTGTCGCTCACGCCGACTCAAGACAGCGCGGTGGACGCATCACGGGCCGTGCCATCGTCACCCCGGCGCTCCACCACCACCACCAGCAGCAGCAGCAGCAACATCATCATCCTGATCGCGACGAGAATGCGATTCACACGGGGAGGATGGACGAGCGCGACTCTTCCACGGGAGACGCGCACGACAAGGTGGCGACTGTGGTGTCACAAACCCAGCATCAGCCACAACATGGCCAGCAGCAGCAGCAGCAACAGCCTCATCGACAGCCGCTCCACCACCATCTCCTTCATCGTCATCAGCAGCAGCAGCAGCGACAGAGAGACACGGAGACTCCAGGGGGAACCGCCGCCGCCGCCGCCGCTGCTGCTGCTGGAGAGGCGGGCGGAGGGGCGCGGTCGCCCGGGATCATTTGGGAGGCTTCGGGGTTGGTTCAAGAGGAGGGGGGCTTCACCCGGACGTCTCGGCAGGCGCGCAACTCGAGAGGGCGGTAAGCGGCTGGGAGACACGGTCCACTCCAAACCAAGACTATGACCCCCCCTGGGTAGCCTTACCACACTTGTAGGGGCAAGTGCTGTAAGCGAGCACCTGTGAAGGCCGGCACGGGCGCACGAGGGGGTGGGTGGCCAGCACCACCTCTGGCCGCCTTTGTCTCCCGAGTGGCGATGTTTACTACACACCGCACCAGGTTGAGTCGACCTAGAGGAGGCGCGTGAGCGGTTCAGATAATCTTAAGCGGTGTTGGCCGTGAGCGGGGATCGAACTCGAGTCGCCAGGTTCGTAGCACAGCGCGCTAACCGCTGCGCCTCCGTTCCCCACTCAGCACACACACACACCTCCACCGTTAGACATGTCCACGCACAACCCTTTTGTCGCTCCACCGCAAGATGACGGCTTCTCCGCAGACAATTTATGTTTTGACCACACTTTTTCACACTCGTGAAGACGGCACACATATACGTGGGTGTCATAGAACTACTGTCCACGTGAAATCACCGCCATGTGCTGCCACTCAGAAATAAGCAAAACAGAAGCCCATCAGTGAGTCTCAAGACTGTTTTCAGGAGGGTCCTGCAACCGGGGCGGGGGGGTGGGGGGTGTTTGTCAAAATGTCTTCACAATCATGAGCGCCGCGCAAGTGCGAGAGGCGAATCGGAGTGCAACTCGCCAGAAATTCCGACGTGCGATACGATTGTAACAACGACGCAAAGGGTTTCGCGAACCCGCTCGCCGCACTGGTGGTGGTGTGGGGGGGTGGTGACTGCCAGGGCGGTGAAGCAGCTGCGGGATCTGGCAGAGGGTGGGGACGCTCTGGCGAGGGGGTGGTGGTGGTGGTGACATCAACGGCTTTGGCCACAATTACTTGTTGATTCCTGACCTCGCTGGCCCACTCTTGCAGCAGCCCAGGCTGGGGTGGAGAATCGCCGTTTCGCACCGATCCCTGCGCGATCCGTCAACCCTCGCGCCTCGAACAAGCGCCGTTTCACAGAGCGTGTGTGTGTGTCTGTATATATGTTGAACTTCTTTCGCACCGTACGTAGCCGACCGTGCTCGTCGGAGGTGCGAGCGCCAAGCGAGGCAGCCTATCGGTGACGATTATCTTCAGCGGTCCTTGGTCGACTCAGCCTCAAAATGCGAACCGGGCGTAGCGCTGTCGTGTGCCGTGCCGGCCTTCAGTAGCTGCCCGCTACTCGCTAACAGCACCCGCCCCCAATAACAGTCTGTTGATGCTATACGGTGTTTGTGTGTGTGTGTGGGGGGGGCATCTTTCTGTGCGCGCGCAGGAACTGGTGCGCCTACGTGCGGACCCGACTCTCGCCCACGGCGCTCGCCGACGGCAGCGAGACGTACGTGGGCAAGGCGACCCAGCAGTGCCCCTGGACGTACGGAGTGTGCGGCATCGTGTGAGTTGCACACCCCCCCCTTCCCCCCGCTTTGTCACGTGCGGTCAATCGACCCCCGTGTTGAATTCAGTTCGCGCGAGATATGTGCACGGTTCACCACTCGTTTCTGTCCGGCCAGACCGTCGTCGTGAACTGCGTAATGAGGGCGCCGCGGTGGCTAGGAGATGTTAACTACCTCGCCTGGTATACAGGAGGTCGTGGATTCGATCCCGATACTGACGCCTGCTGCTGCTGTATATTTGGAGTCTGCGTGTGCTCTCTGCCCCGTGGTCGCGTGGATTTTTGTCCGGGTCCTTCGGTTTTCCCCTCCACATTTTTTGAATCAACGTGGGTTTAGAGTATTTGGCTGCTATATATTTCCACGTGATGATAAGCCACATCGTTGAGCTATAATTTGTGGCCAGGTCGCTTCTGAAAAATAGTTAAATAGCTCAGTGGCCCTTACATGGTAAAATGAAACAAAAAAGTAGTTTTAGTGTATAGTTTGTATGCCATTTTTTTTCTTCTAAATATGGTACAGCTCTCCACTGCCCAGCGACAGAGCCAATCTGATCAAGTTGCGTCACGTCATGGGCAAATGCCCCATTTGAGATTTGGGTTATCAGCAACACAAACAAGGAGAATGAGGTAATGTTAAATAGCTCGAGTAAAACGTTCCCTATTTTTGTACGACGTTTCGCTGGAGACCATCACGACCAGCACCGTTAGGTGTTTTAAAAAAAAAAACCCCATCAGCTCTCGTAGGTTGCCGCTGTCGTGTTGCACACAGCACTCCGCGGCACGATGTACGACGGTTCGTGCCACCGTGCCTGGAGCTTGTTTCGGAACGCACGGTGGCAAGGCGAACGAGCCATCAAGGGCCCTTATTCGGGAAACGAAACAAACGAAAGAACAAGCTCCCCGGCACGCGGAGCGAAACGTCGGACACCACGCCGAACGACACGCGGCGCAACACCGAACTCGCATCGGGGAGCTCCTCCGTTCACCGGCAATTCGCATTCGCGCATCGCGCGCGAGGCACGGGTGCACGCCGCCGCCCCCGCCGCCACACGCGAGCTGAGCTCATCGACTCAATTCCCCGCGGTGGCGGTGGGGGGTCGTGTCGCCCCTCCTCGGCTGTCGTTCCGCCACCAGCCTCGTCCGACGGACAATTTGGCCACGGCCCGAGTCCGCTCGCTGTTGTCCGCACGGGATGTGCGGCGCTTGTGTTCGTCGTCTCACCCGGGAGTGCACGCGTGGCCGCGAGCGGTGATTTGCACAAGGGAATCGTGCTCGCGATGTCAGAGTGAGACAAAACAAAGACAAAGATCCCCTCTATAGCCTGTAACAGACTGTTGGGGCAAGTGCCGTTAGCGAGTAGCACCTATGAAGGCCGGCACGGCACACGAGGGGGTGGGTGGTCAGCACCACGCCCAGCCGCCTTTGTCTCCCCAGTGGCGATGTTTACTACACATCGCACCAGGTACTCATTTTAAGGCTGAGCCGACCTCGGGGAGCCCCAGGATCGGTTCAGATAATTGTCACCGGTGTTGGCCGTGAGCGGGAATCGAACTCCGGGTCGCCAGGTTCGTAATGCAGCGCGCTAACCGCTACGCAAAGATAAAGACAAAGATCCCCCGTATAGCCTTAGCAGACTGTATGGGCAAGTGCTGTTAGCGAGCAGCACCTATGAAGGCCGCAACCGTACACGAGGGGGTGGGTGGCCAGCACCACGCCCGACCGCCTTTGTCTCTACACTACCACCTACACACTACACACGCGCGAATAGCGGGAATTTATGCACGTGTTGTGTACACGTCTGTGAATATCACAACGTAAAGAAACCCGGTTGACTTGATGGCCCAACATTCCCCAATTCGTTCGGGCAGTCAATCGCCTCCTTATCACTCTTCTATCGCGACTACAATGTTTACTGTTGCCGTGAACTTCACCCCTTCATTCCTCCTGCACCACCCATTTTTTGAGGACTCCGCTCTACCAGCTTGACTGTTATATTATATCCTTAGTTCTTTCGGTAAAGTCACGTTGAAGGGAAAAAAACGTGACTTTACCGAAAGAACTAAGAATATGAATTACTGCAGTCACGAAAGCTTTAAATCAAAATTTAGCTTGACTGTTGTTTAATCTCATCCACCTCGTCTTCAACCACCACCACCACCGCCGCCACCACCACCACCACCGCCACACTGAAAGAACAAGAATATTAATCCCTGCAGTCACGAAAGCTTTAAATCAAAATTTAGCTTGACTGTTGTTTAATCTCATCCACCTCGTCTTCAACCACCACCACCGCCGCCACCGCCGCCACCACCACCACCACCGCCACACTGACTTTGGAGCTCCCTTCCCATCATTGATTGCTTTTCCCTCCCCCGCTGCCCCCCCCCCCCCCCCGGATTGTTGCAGGTACCGCGTGATGCAGCGGCCGTCATACCGCGTCAAGCATCTCATCGTCACCTCTCTCGAGTGGCGCTGCTGCCCGGGACACGACGGCACCAACTGCGACCCCAAAGGTCGGGAGGCCACCGAGCGGCATTCCCTGCGGGGACTGAAGCGGCACACGCGGTGCTCATCTCTGGTTAAGCTGGTGGTGGACATTCCAACATTATTATGGCGGGGGACCAGATTATATATATGTTATTTTCCTGTACATCCTGTGCATACGGGAAACCAATGTTGACTTCTAAAGCGACACTCATTCGACCCCATGGCAATGTTGGCTGAGTAAAAAACCCTGGTCAGGATTTGAACCCGCGAACCCTTTGGATTGCGAGCCGCTAGCCCAGTGTTCTTCACTACATTTCAGAGGAGGGGCCCACATTCGCCGATGAGACATCATCAGCGTGTGAGGGCCGACACACGTTTGAAACCATTGTTGGGTTTGACAGCAGCACGACGATGATGATGATGATGATGGGGGGTGGGGGGTGTTGTCACGTGTCGTGTGTTGTCGGGGGCCGCACTAAAGGTCACCAGGAGTTGCCAGTGACCCGCGAGATTTGCAAAGAAGAATACTGCTCTAGCTCTGCCGCTGGGCCGTGTGGTCTGTCACAACAGCGGTCCCCAACATTTTTGGCACCAGGGACCGGTTTTTTCACGGACCGAGTGGGAGGGGTTCATCATTGGGTCTTTCCCCCTTTTCAAAGAAGCTCTCCAGCCACGTTTGTTTTTCTACTCCTTGTGGCTACTAGGGGGTTAGCTTGTGGGCTTACTCATTGTGGCTACTAGGGGGTTAGAGCTTGTGGGCTTACTCCTTGTGGCTACTAGGGGGTTAGAGCTTGTGGGCTTACTCATTGTGGCTACTAGGGGTTAGAGCTTGTGGGCTTACTCCTTGTGGCTACTAGGGGGTTAGCTTGTGGGCTTACTCATTGTGGCTACTAGGGGTTAGAGCTTGTGGGCTTACTCCTTGTGGCTACTAGGGGTTAGCTTGTGGGCTTACTCCTTGTGACTACTAGGGGTTAGAGCTTGTGGGCTTACTCATTGTGGCTACTAGGGGTTAGAGCTTGTGGGCTTACTCCTTGTGGCTACTAGGGGTTAGAGCTTGTGGGCTTACTCATTGGCTACTAGGGGTTAGAGCTTGTGGGCTTACTCCTTGTGGCTACTAGGGGTTAGCTTGTGGGCTTACTCCTTGTGGCTACTAGGGGTTAGAGCTTGTGGGCTTACTCCTTGTGGCTACTAGGGGTTAGCTTGTGGGCTTACTCCTTGTGGCTACTAGGGGTTAGAGCTTGTGGGCTTACTCCATGTGGCTACTAGGGGTTAGAGCTTGTGGGCTTACTCATTGTGGCTACTAGGGGTTAGCTTGTGTGGCTTACTCCTTGTGGCTACTAGGGGTTAGCTTGTGGGCTTACTCCATGTGGCTACTAGGGGTTAGAGCTTGTGGGCTTACTCATTGTGGCTACTAGGGGTTAGAGCTTGTGGGCTTACTCATTGTGGCTACTAGGGGTTAGAGCTTGTGGGCTTACTCCTTGTGGCTACTAGGGGTTAGAGCTTGTGGGCTTACTCATTGGCTACTAGGGGTTAGAGCTTGTGGGCTTACTCCTTGTGGCTACTAGGGGTTAGCTTGTGGGCTTACTCCTTGTGGCTACTAGGGGTTAGAGCTTGTGGGCTTACTCCTTGTGGCTACTAGGGGTTAGCTTGTGGGCTTACTCCTTGTGGCTACTAGGGGTTAGAGCTTGTGGGCTTACTCCATGTGGCTTCTAGGGGTTTGAGCTTGTGGGCTTACTCATTGTGGCTACTAGGGGTTAGCTTGTGTGGCTTACTCCTTGTGGCTACTAGGGGTTAGCTTGTGGGCTTACTCCATGTGGCTACTAGGGGTTAGAGCTTGTGGGCTTACTCATTGTGGCTACTAGGGGTTAGAGCTTGTGGGCTTACTCATTGTGGCTACTAGGAGTTAGAGCTTGTGGGCTTACTCATTGTGGCTACTAGGGGTTAGAGCTTGTGGGCTTACTCATTGTGGCTACTAGGGGTTAGCTTGTGGGCTTACTCATTGTGGCTACTAGGGGTTAGAGCTTGTGGGCTTACTCCATGTGGCTACTAGGGGTTAGAGCTTGTGGGCTTACTCATTGTGGCTACTAGGGGTTAGCTTGTGGGCTTACTCCTTGTGGCTACTAGGGGTTAGAGCTTGTGGGCTTACTCATTGTGGCTACTAGGGGGTTAGCTTGTGGGCTTACTCCTTGTGGCTACTAGGGGTTAGATCTTGTGGACTTACTCAGTGGCTACTAGGGGTTAGAGCTTGTGGGCTTACTCCTTGTGGCTACTAGGGGTTAGAGCTTGTGGGCTTACTCATTGTGGCTACTAGGGGTTAGAGCTTGTGGGCTTACTCATTGTGGCTACTAGGGGTTAGAGCTTGTGGGCTTACTCATTGTGGCTACTAGGGGTTAGCTTGTGGGGTTACTCCTTGTGGCTACTAGGGGTTAGAGCTTGTGGGCTTACTCATTGTGGCTACTAGGGGGTTAGCTTGTGGGCTTACTCCTTGTGGCTACTAGGGGTTAGATCTTGTGGACTTACTCAGTGGCTACTAGGGGTTAGAGCTTGTGGGCTTACTCATTGTGGCTACTAGGGGTTAGAGCTTGTGGGCTTACTCCTTGTGGCTACTAGGGGTTAGAGCTTGTGGGCTTACTCATTGTGGCTACTAGGGGTTAGAGCTTGTGGGCTTACTCCTTGTGGCTACTAGGGGTTAGAGCTTGTGGGCTTACTCATTGTGGCTACTAGGGGTTAGAGCTTGTGGGCTTACTCCATGTGGCTACTAGGGGTTAGAGCTTGTGGGCTTACTCCTTGTGGCTACTAGGGGCTAGAGCTTGTGGGCTTACTCCTTGTGGCTACTAGGGGTTAGATCTTGTGGGCTTACTTATTGTGGCTACTAGGGGTTAGCTTGTGGGCTTACTCCTTGTGGCTACTAGGGGTTAGATCTTGTGGGCTTACTCAGTGGCTACTAGGGGTTAGAGCTTGTGGGCTTACTCCTTGTGGCTACTAGGGGTTAGAGCTTGTGGGCTTACTCCTTGTGGCTACTAGGGGTTAGCTTGTGGGCTTACTCATTGTGGCTACTAGGGGTCAGCTTGTGGGCTTACCAAAACTGTGACTGAGACGAGTTGCGCAGTGCGGGAAAGAGGCACAGACGGAAGTGGTAAATAATAAAATAATGGGGGTGGGCCACGCGTGGACTCACCGCTCTCACCTCCTGCTGCTGTGCGGCCCGGTTCCTAACAGGTCACGGACTGGTACCGGTCCGCGGCCCGGGGGTTGGAGACTCCTGTGTTACACTCTCACATGTTATATATAATATATACATACACACGTTAATGTAATTATACATCCTCACTGAGTCTCAAGACTATTTTTAAGGAGGGTAACTGCTACATTGCGGTTTTTGGCCAATTGCATCATTCAATGTTGTGTATGTGGGATGATGCAGAGAGAACGCCGGATAGGGGCAGAGAGACACTGAGTTGATTATCTCAGCCGCTAAGGCCCCACTGAGCTCAGCGGCTCTGTTACGAGGGCGGCCACGGGCCCAAACCTCCGGCAGGCACTGTGCCTGGGGTCTACGAAAACGAAAGGTCTCTGCGATAACAAAAATTGTGAGCGTGTTTTTTTGTCGGTTAGTTAGTTTCTCAATCCGCTTGTCCCGGATGAGCCTCGCGGTGGCAGCATCTTTTTTTAGTTTGTATGATAAAATGTATATATATAAAACCAAGAGATCTTCTTGAATAAATATATTTATATATAGCAAAAAGGATAGGCATAGTGTACATACAAAGAGGCAGAGTCGTGTCATTCGGTTTTTGTTTTCACAAGGTGAAACATGTACAACGGAAATTAGCTTTTCGATATTTTTTTTTCATTGCAAAATGAGCAACAACATTTTTAAAAAACGGTGTTGTTCGCACAATCTCATTCTCAATAGAGAGCGGAGTGACACTGGCGGTAGTAACGTGGGCAGCAGTACCAACGTAGAAAGTTATCCCTGCACAGCCTACGAAACAGAAGTGCCTAGGGCGTACAATAACTTTACTCCGATCCTAAATGTAGGGTGGGAACGTCCGAAACAACACGATAAACAACAACAACAACTGTTTACTACTATTATGTATTTATTTTTATTTTACCAGGTAAGGCCCACTGAGTTAGCGTATGTAGCTCTTTTTCAGAAGCGACCTGGCCACAAATGATAGCTCAACGAAGTGGCTTTATCACGTGGACATTTATTGCAGCCAAATACTCTAGATGCACGTTGATTCTAAATGTGGAGGGGAAAACCGGAGAAAAATCCACGCTACCACGGGGAGAGAGACACGCAGCAGGCGTCAGGGTCTGGATCGAACCCTCTCTTTCACAAGCGACCTGGCCATCACAAATGATAGCTCAACGAAAGTGATTTATCATCACGTGGACATTTATAGCAGTAGCCACATACTCTGAACGCGTGATGTTGATTATAAATGTGGAGGGAAAACCCGGAGGACCTGGAGAAAAATCCACGCGACCACGGGGAGAGAGAGAGAGAGACAGTGTGAACTCCAAATATACAGCAGCAGGCGTCAGGGTCTGGATCGAACCCACGACCTCCTGTAGACCAGGCGAGGTAGTTAACATCTCATAGCCACCGTGATGATGATGAGAGAGAGAGACACGCACATTCCAAATATACAGCAGCAAGCGTCAGGGTCTGGATCGAACCCACGACCTCCTGCATACCAGGCGAGGTAGTTAACATCTCGCGCACGTGGTGTCCACATTTAAACATTCGTTTCACGAGACGCGGCAAGATGTACTGCAAAGACGATCGGTGCTACGGTGACCGCCCGCCTCCCTGTGAACCAGCGCACGTGTTGTGTGTGTTGTGTGTGTGTTGTGTGTGTGTTGTGTGTGTATTGTGTGTGTTGTGTGTGTGTTGTGTATGTTGTCTGTGTGTTGTCTGTGTGTTGTGTGTGTGTTGTGTGTGTTGTGTGTGTTGTGTGTGTGTTGTGTGTGTTGTCTGTGTATTGTGTGTGTTGTCTGTGTGTTGTCTGTGTGTTGTCTGTGTGGTGTGTGTGTATTGTGTGTGTTGTGTGTGTGTTGTGTATGTTGTCTGTGTGTTGTGTGTGTTGTGTGTGTGTTGTGTGTGTTGTGTGTGTTGTGTGCGCAGGGCCGTTTGGGTTCGTGCAGGGCACTCCGCTTGACTCGAAAGATTCCGCCATCCCCTCGCCTCCACTCAACGATGAAAAGAGTGAGTGTTTGTGTGTATGTATGTGTGTATGTATGTGTGTGTCTTCTTAGTTCTTTCGGCAAAGTCACGTAGAATGTGGATAAAATAATAATAATAAAATAAAAATTATCGCGACGTTTCGGGGGCAACACAATTTCCGTCTTCAGGTCTTCAGGTGGGACAGTCACAGCAAGATCGCTGATCAAGTGTGATCAGCGATCTTGCTGTGACTGTCCAACCTGAAGACGGAAGCTTGTGTTGCCCCCGAAACGTCGTGAGAATATTTATTTTTATTTTATTTTTATTATTATTTTATCCCCATTCTACGTGGTGACTTTACCGAAAGAACCAAGAAGATGAATCCCTGCAGTCACGAAAGCTTTAAATCGAAATGTGTGTGTGTTTGTATGTCGACTCAGCCTCAAATAAGTACCGAGTGTGATGTGTAAACATTGCCCCTAGGGAGACAAAGGCGGCCAGGCGTGATGCTGGCCACCCACCCCTACGTCTGTTAAGGCTATATGGGGGGTACGGTGGGGGGGGGGTCTTTATCTTTGTAGTGACATCTCGAGTTGAGTTCTAGTGCGTCGTAGTAACGGCCTTCATGAGTTATCGCTGACAGCACTTGCCCCAAAACCTCTCTGAAGGCTACACGGGGATCTTTGTCTTCGTCTAAGGGTCGTGGTGGGGGCCACGTAGCACCCCCCCCCCCCCCCACGCAACGTGGGACAAGCAGCACCCTTGGTAGTTGCTCGCGAATGACACTGGCCCAGACAATGTGTGAAGTCTGTACGGGGGATCTCTGTACATATATATATCTATTTTTGTTGGTATGTGTTTTAGCCATGCACGTACGACGATGACGAGATCACTTTGGCAGACGAGAACGCGCGGCGCGCGCGATTTTGCCCGTCGCCCCGATCAATCGGCTCAACCCACAGCATCTGCAGCCTCTCGGCCGGTGACATTTCTCCAGACGGCCCTCATCCATCTCCACGTGCGCGTGCCCTCGACGCGCACGTGTCCCTGGCACGGGTCGGCGTGGAGATGTCACCCTCACTGAGTGGCAGCTGCTGTTGTGTGTTTTGTGTGCTGGCTATCATCGTGGGGAGCGGCGGCGAAGCGGTGAGCGCACCGCGCGGCGAACCCGGCCACCCGAGTTCGATTCCTGGCCACGGCCGACACCGGTGACGATGATCTGAATCGGTTCTGGGCCGCCCCTAGGTCGACTCGGCCTCAAATTGAGAAACCTGGTGCGGTGTGTGAGCATCGTCACTGGGGAGACAAAGGTGGCCGTGCGTGGTGCTGGCCACCCACCCCCATCGTGTGCCGTGCCGGCCTACACACTGTAGGTGCCACTCGCTGACAGCAACTCGCCACAACAGTCTCCTCCTGTACGAGGCTATACGGGGGATCTTTGTCCTTGTAGGCTATCATAGCCACTCAGGGTCGCTTCATGGTCGTGATGAACAACATTCGTGGCTATTTGTAACTGAACCTTTGCTTGGGCATCCCCAAGGTCGACTCAGCCTTAAACTGCCACGGTGATTGAGTGTCTGGAGTGCAGCCGGCAGGCACTGCCGAGGTTGGTACCTGTCCCAAGGCAGTGCTACTGGGAGTTCCGTGTTCGTACGAGGGCGACCTTTCTCTCCACTGTTGAGGGTAGCGGTCGGGGGAGAGAGGATGTTTAGTTTATTTGATTGATTCCGACTGCAATGCGGACCATTGTCTTGGCAGCAAACGGCAATGTACACACGGCAAAACGTGTCCCACGTGAAGAACACACGCTACCACAGGTCAAACTTGCGTCAAGTCACATTCTCGTCTAAATACGTTGATGTCGGTTGCGCGGACAATCATCGTCACAGTGTCGCGTTCCACAATTCACACGCGTTTCAATGTCAGGCGGCTGTACCTGTTAAGTTCGGTCCACAATCGAGGGTTTTTTTGAGGTTAGATCGCGTAAATATCAACGTGTCGTTAACCCACCATCACCCGACACAGCGAATTAGTAGTAATGCTTCTCACGTGAACGGAAAGTGCCAATTAGTTACCACCTCATCACACCGGTATATGTATAATTAACTACTTTCGCACCGTACGTAGCCAACCGTGTTAACGACACATTTATATTTACGTGATCTAACAAAAAATAAAGTTCTTATGAATACTGGTCCCGAAGCGTGTTAAACTGAAGTTCAGTCCAAGTTCTCTCTCTCTCTCTCTGGTATAGATTCTTTACACGTGCACTTCAGTTTGGCATTCTTGCTCCTTGCTAGACGCCTCTCTCTGCCAAGTGCTCAGACGTGATCTCCAAGTGAAATGGAGAGACAAGGATGAGGAACAGATGGACCAACAATCAGCCAAAAATCCGAGGCGTCATATTTACTGTAAAACAAAAAAAAACATCGCTTGGGGAGGACACGTCATAGCTAGAATAGGAACGATGGCCAAATGAACGAGAATGATAATGAATTGTTTGCCAAAGGAGGGAATTCAACCGAGAGGATGAGCTACCACAGACGCGCAGGTAGTGCGATGGATTGTGGCGCAGCAAGACCCGCGGGGGATGTCGCCAGAGTGCGGAGGCCTTCGCCCGCCAGTGGATAGAGATTGTCTAATGAGATACAATGGTGATGTTGCATGAACTAAATGATGATGCCATGACGACGGTGAAGGCGATGACGACGACGACGATGATGATGATGATGATGATCGCGTTGCCCACAGACCGGCCCGGGCGCCACGACGGGATCAATAACCTGGAGAAGCACCTGGTACACCTGGCCCAGCTCCAGCGTGACGTGGCCAACGTGTCCGGTGCCCTGGGCGACGTGCGTGGCAGCCTGCGTGCCCTCGAGGATAGGGTGGCCGTGCCCCGACCAGGTGAGCGGTTGCTGGGGTTTATTTTTTCTTATCCCCCCCCCCCCTCCGCTCCACTCGGTGTGTACGTGTGTACGTTGAACTTCTTACGCACCGTACCTAGCCAACCGTGCCAATCGGAGGTGCGGGTTGTGTCAGAATATTTTTTGTTATTTCCAATGGAGACATAGACGTAAAGTAGAATTATTAATATTGGGGGTCGCGGTGCGAGGGACAGGACAATAAACTGAACATCAAAAACCAGTTCTCAAGGAATCAGTATTCAATCAGGATGATTTAAAAGTGGCAGGCTCCCAGTGGCTTCCTAATATCCACCGTGGCGGGGCTGGCGAAGGACGTGGATCTGACGTGGCGCCGGGTTGCACGGCGCAACGTTCGGCGGTTCGCTGCACGCGTTAGGAGCTTCTTCGGTCGCACATCGAGCCAGACATCGCGAAAATGTGCAACCACGAAAACCTGCAGCCAGAAAAACCTGCATCGGTGAAAACATGCAACCGTGAAAACATGCAACCGTGAAAACATGCAACCGTGAAAACATGCAACAGTGAAAACATGCAACCGTGAAAATCTACAACCGCGAAAACATGCAATAGTGAAAACATGAACCGTGAAAACATGCAACCGTGAAAACATGCAACAGCAAAAACATGTAACCGTGAAAACATGCAACCGTCAAAACATGCAACAGTGAAAACTCTGCGAAGTAGAATTACTGTTGGCCAAAGTGACGTATTTTACTTGTCCATACCTCCCGAGATGGTTAAAAAAGACATAAGCGGTATCAATTCGTTTATTATTTGTCTAAACAGGCAAAGTCCGGACACGTTTCAACCTTCTGAGTCTCATTAGCTTAGTGTGGCCTGTTAAGTGATTGCTACTGGCTTGCCCGATGTTCCAGGCACGGACCTTACACGAGCACAGTGGGGCTTGTGGAGCGTCAGGTGTTCTAGACAAACGGGGGTCACGGGTCAGACTTTGTGAGCTATGTAGCTCTTTTCCAGAAGCGACCTGGCTATCACAAATGATAGCTAAACGAAGTTGGCATATCGCGTGAACATTTACAGCGGCCAAATACTCTAAACGCGTGACGTTGATTCTAAATGTGGAGGGAAAAACCGGAGGAACCGGATAAAAATGAACATGACCACGAGGAGAGGAACACTGCAAACTCCAAATATACAGGCGAGGTAGTTAACATCTCGCCACAAACAAAGACCAACGAGACACAATGCGGGAAGAGCCTCGCTTACTGGACTGGCTTGCCAGTGCAGTGCAGCAACGTTGAGTAAACACAACTTTGTGTGGCCCACAGGAGTGAATTGTTCCTTTGTGAGCACGCGGTGTACAGGTGGCTCATGGATGCGGTGGACGTATTCCCGACACGGTGAATGCGGGGTGGGGGGCGAATGTTTACTTTCGTTCCGAATTTGGCAAAATCCGAGGCGGATGTCTCCATCGTCAAACAACGAGGGGGAAAACGCCACCCGGCCCGTCACGTGACGCGGTGTGAGCGGCGAACGTGGCCGCGTTCCCAATGCCTCGCCCGGACAACTCCGCTAAATTCCTCCCCGTACTTTTATAGAATAACCCCGCACACCGGAGTGCGCCCTCACCCAGTGACGACTCTACTTATCGAACTGCTTTTTGTGTTTAGTTTGTTGTCCATCGAACAAAGACGGTCACTGTGTCGTGCTCTTCCAGATGCGCTTCTGCGGTCCGTCTGGAACGCTCTTCCCTCCGATATTAGGACGATACTGTAGCCATGCATTTTTCAATCATCTAGATTGAAAACTCATTTATTTAGAACTCCTTTTTGTGTTTCGTTTCTTGTCGTTCCCCTGCACCTCCGATTGGCGCGGTTGGCTACTTACGGCGCGAAAGAAGTTCAACGTACGTACAACATATTCTTAGCTCTTTCGGTAAAGTCACGTTGAAGGGAAACAATAAAATAATAAAATATATATACAAATTCTCACGACGTTTCGACCATAACACAAACGGTCGTCATCAGGTGTGTCGGTTTGCATTAATAATACAAAAACAATAAAAATTCTCACGACGTTTCGACCATAACACAAACGGTCGTCATCAGGTGTGTCGGTTTGCAAACTCACTCAATCAACCGACACACCTGATGACGACCGTTTGTGTTATGGTCGAAACGTCGTGAGAATTTTTATTGTTTTTATATATATATTATTATTTTATTTTTTCCTTTCAACGTGACTTTACCGAAAGAGCTAAGAATATGAATTACTGCAGTCATGAAAGCTTTAAATCAAAATTTGTACGTACAACATATAACTGAATGGATACCGCTTCATTTTGTTTTAGATAACAGTATCTGAGCACAGGGTCAAAATGCACAAAACTCCAAGCAGCCAGCAACAAACAGCACTGTCCAAGGTGTAATATATCATAATACAACGCTTTCTTTGGATCGAGTAAGGCTGTAAGAACTCGGGATTTGAAGCGATGTGGGAGGGTGAAGAAGCGGCAAGAGAAGTGTTGTGACCTGCAGTGTTGTGACTTGCAGTGTTGTGAGTGTGTGGGTGAGTGAATGGGTGAGTGAGTGGGTGATTGAGTGAGTTGTTGGGACCTGCAGTGTTGTGACCTGCAGTGTTGTGAGTGTGTGGGTGAGTGAGTGAATGGGTGAGTGAGTGGATGATTGAGTGTTTGGGTGAGTGAATGGGTGAGTGAGTGGGTGAGTGAGTGGATGATCGAGTGAGTGTTTGGCTGAGTGAATGGGTGAGTGAGTGGGTGATTGAGTGAGTTGTTGTGACCTGCAGTATTGTGAGTGTGTGGGTGAGTGAATGGGTGAGTGAGTGGATAATTGAGTGAGTGTTTGGGTGAGTGAATGGGTGAGTGAGTGGGTGATTGAGTGAGTTGTTGTGACCTGCAGTGTTGTGACCTGCAGTGTTGTGAGTGTGTGGGTGAGTGAATGGGTGAGTGAGTGGATGATTGAGTGAGTGTTTGGGTGAGTGAATGGGTGAATGAGTGGGTGATTGAGTGAGTTGTTGTGACCTGCAGTGTGGTGCTTGAACACAGGGTGAATGAGACAAATCTGGTAGACTTTAACATGGGCGAAGTAATCAATAGTTATGGGGCCAGTTACTACAATAGTAGCGATAGAAGAATGATACGGAGGCAGCTGACCACTTCGTGGAACGAGGCATCAATCAGTGAGTACTGAATTTCATTCAACCTAACTGCTTTGGTAAATTATTTTTCTCCAAGTCCTCCGGGTTTTCCCTCCATATTTATAAATATATGCATTTAGAGGATGTATGTTAAACTTCTTTCGCACTGTAGGTAGCCAACCCCGCTAATTGGAGGTGCAATTTGGCTGCAAATAACTCCGCTAATCGGAGAATATTTGGCTCCTATACATTTTCACGTGATGAGCCACTCCGTTGAGCTATCATTTGTGGCCAGGTCGCCTCTCAAAAAAGCGCTACATAGCTCAGTGTGCCTTACCTGGTATAATATTAATAATAATAATGAATAATAAGGTAGGGTGCGCTGTGGAGGTGGGGCGTGGGGACTGAAGGGAGACTCAACGAGTCGCCAATCGCCGTGCCGCTCTCGCCCCGCTCCCCCTTCGTTCGCACCCCGGACGCAGACGCCACCTCCAACAGGATCTCCGAGGACGACGTGACGGAGCTGGTGAAGAAGCTGGTCCAGCAGCAGATGGCTGAGCTGCACCGGGCCCTGTACGAGCCCGTGCGCCGAATCGCCTCCACCGTGGCAGGTCTGGCCAAGGACGTGGAGCTGAGCCGGCGCGATGCCGCGGTCCTCAACGGCAGCGTGGCCGACGCGGCGAGGGCGTGCGGGGAGGCGCTTCTCCTGGCGCGGGGTAACGAGCGCTCCATCGCGGAGCTGGCGAGCTCCGAGCTCCACGTGGGGAGCCAGAGCCCGCCCCCGGGCGCGATCGGGAACCACGGAGTCGCGGAGGAGGAGGGGGACGAGGAGAAGGGCGAGGACGCGGCCGAGCGCGTGCGGGAGGAGCTCGAGCGCCTGCGGCACAGCGTCGTGGCGGACTTCTCCCGGCAGCTCGGGGATCTCCGCGAGGACGTCCGCGGCCGCATCGAGGCCCTGGGCGCGTCCGTGGCGGACGCGGAGCGGCGACAGCAGTGGCAGCAGGCGGCGCTGCGGAAGCTCCTCGACGCGCCGCCTCCTCCGCCTCCGCCGCCTCCGCCGGAGTCGCCCCCGACGGCGGGGCCCGGCCACGCGGCGCCGACGGGGGATTGGCACGGCGTGAGGGAGACGATGGCCATCCACGCGGCGCTCATCAACGACACGAGCGAGCGCGTGTGGGAGCTCGCGCAGCTGCTGCGCCAGTGGCGGCAGGAGGAGGAGGAGGAGGAGGCGGCGGCGTGCGGGATGCCGTGCACGGAGCTCGTGGCGTCGGCGCGGGACGCACAGCGGCTGGCCCACGGCGCTCGCGATGCGGAGGAGAGGCTCGACGGCCTGCAGCGGCTGCTGCGCGCGAACCTGTCATCCACCGAGGAGGGGCTGCGGCAAGCGACGGGCGCCGTGCGGGACCTGTACAGGGAGACCGGGGAGCTGCGCCTGGCCCTGAGCGAACTCCAGCAGCAGCAGCTGCAGCAGCTGCAGCAGCTGCAGCAGCAACAGCAGCAGCAGCAGTCGAACACGGACGCGCCGCGCGCTCGGGCCGACACGCCGGACCCGGACACGCGGCCTCCTCCCGGGCACTCGGACGAACGCCTCGACGCTTCCTCGTCCACCCTGGACGAGCTGGCGGGCGACGTCGCCGCCCTCAAGCTCTCCCACGACGACCTCCTCGCCCGTGTCCAGCAAGAGTCGCGGGCGCAGGCGCTGCACGTGCAGGAGCTGCACGACGCGCTGGCGGCGCGCATGGAGGGCGGCGCGCGGAAGGCCGGCGCCCGCCTGGACGTGCTGGCGGCACGCGGGGAGGCGATGGCGCACGACCACGGCAAGCTCGAGCGCCACGTGGAGCGCCTCTACAACTCCAGCGTGGATACCCTGCTGCACGTGAGCAGCCTTGGCCAGCGCCTCGACGACCTCAACAGTTCGTTCAACACGCTGCTGGAGGACACGCTGCGCCACACGCTGGTGCTCGAGGCCATGGGGGCTTTCGACGAGTCCGATTACGACGACGACGACGACGACGACGACGACGGCGACGACGGCGACGATGGATACGGAGCTCCCAAACGAAGCATCAACCTCCTGGAGCTCAACAAAGGGGTGCTGGCGGCCTCGGACTCGGCGCTCCGCAATGGCAAGGCGCTGGACCAGATGGTCACGCAGGTGCGCAACCTCAAGCAGCAGCTGGACGACAGGGTGGCCAACCTGGAGCGGCGCTTCCTGAGCGGCGGGGCAGGAGGCGTGGGAGGCTCCGGCGGGGACGGGGACGGCTCGGGAGACGCGGCCAGAGACGGATCCCTCGGGGTGGAGGTCGCGAGGCTGCGCGACCTCGAGGTGGCCGCCAGGGAGTCGCGGCAACAGCGGCGCTTCCTCGAGGAGAAGCTACGGGACCTGGAAAGCAGCTGCTGCGGCGGCGGCGGCGGCGGCGGCGGCGGAGACTCGTCCTCTTCCATCACCATCGGAGACGTCCTGGAAGAGTTCAGGCAGGAGGTTGAGCACAACATCACGTCGGTGCGCCTCACGCTGGAGGCCATCCCGCTGGATGAGGTGCGCCGCGAGCTGATCGCCGAGGTGAGCGAGCGCGTGAACGCCGCCCTCCTCGACGCAAGGCGGGGGAAGGGCGCCGGCCGACGCCGCCAGCGCAAGAAGGGAAAGGGCCCCGGACGCGGGCCGGGAGCCGGCGGGAGCGGCGGGAGCGGCGGCGACGACGAGGAGGAGGCCGACGACGATGACGACGATGCCGGTGGTGGCGGTGGCGGTGGTGTCGGCGGCGAGGATTTTGCTGGAGCAGGGGCGTACAGGGAGCTGGCGGGAGACGAGGACGCGGAGAGCCACCTGGAGAGGAGGAAGCGCAGGGACGCGTGAGCGAGCCCAGAGGGCGGGGCCGACTCAGGGACCCGCGTTGAAGGCAGCACGACCCAGAAGCAAAACACCAGCGGCTCTTCTCTTGTAGCTCCACGCCCGGCCCCGCCGGTGTGCCGGACCATCCCACGCCAGCTTGAAGCTTTTTTTGTATCAGTCATCTCCTGCGTCGTGTCCACTGACTGTGGTGGACTCGTTTCGTTTATACGACCCTTCTGAAATGATAAATGCAAATCCTAACACATTTGCGGAAAGAGTTCCTTTGACATATAAAATAAAAAAAATCATCTAAAAAAGATTGGATTTTAATAATGAATGTGGAGCAAAAAAAAAAGTTATTTTAAAGTTGCTTTCGGGAGCGTCGCGAATTATCGTTTTGTGTCATCGCTGGAATGTGACTGCCATTCCCTTCCTTTTACAAATCATCTGGTGCTGCTTCTGTTGCGTTGCGCATGGTGCACAAGCATAAACAACATTCATCAATAACACTGCGGCCTTAAAATAAAAAAAAAATATTGATAGGTTCCATTCCGGGCAATGGACCTTCTTCATAGCACATGGAAAAAAATAAAAATAAACTTTTTTTTCTTCCAGGTAAGGCCCACTGAGTTATAAAGCTCTCTTTCAGAAGGCACCTGCCCACAAATGATAGCTCAACGAAGCGGCTTATCACGTGGAAATGTATAGCAGCCAAATACTCTAAATGCACATTGATTAAAAATGTGGAGTGAAAATCTGGAGGACCCAGAGAAAAATCCACGAGACCACCAGGAGAACACGCAGGCTCCAAATGTACAGCAGCAGCAGGCGTCAGGGTGCAGATCGAACCAACAACCTCCTGCATACCTGGCGAGGTAGCTAACATCTCGCCAACGTGGTCGCGAGATGCCAGAGAGAGACAGAGAGGGTAATTACGGTTTCAGAGTGCACTTAACACCATGGGACCTGATAAGAATTAAATTGTTTTATTTGCTTTCTAACGACCCGTGTTTGAATTGGCATGTGAATAGTTAGACAAACAGTGGCTATTGAGTTGTACCAGTTAAACCCATTCGAAAATCACAAAAGGTCGCTGCGGTGGATATACGAGAAGCTTGCTACGGCTCTGCTTACGGAAGCCAAGGGGCGCCCAGCAAAGGCGTGCAAGTGGTTACCAGTGGTTACCAGATAAGAGCTGTTGGTGTGTATGTTGAACTTTTTTCGCACCGTACGCAGCCGACCACACTCATCGGAGGTGTGGAGCAAGGGCAACAAACTAAACACAAATAGCAGTTATAAAGAAATAAAATTTCAATCTGGATGATTTAAAAGTGCATAGCTCCAGTGGCTTCCTAATGTGGGAAGGAAGAGCGTTCCAGACGACCACAGAAGCAGCGCATCTGAAAGCGAGCGATGCGGGAACCATCCTTGTCCGATGACTAGCCAAAGGCCGCCGGCTGAGAGGCTGATCGGAGTGCGCGTGATGGGTTCATGCTCCTTGTCGAGATCAGCGAGGTGTTGTGGTTCATTTGTGGCGAGCACCTTGTGTGTCATGGGCGCAGCCTTCGTGTATTTTGTTTAATTTACGGAAGAACCGGGACCGCAACTTTTACCCCTGAGATCGGCGCGGGATGACCGTTGCGTTTCACGCGGACAATGGCGTGGCGCTGTATGGAGAAGGGCATTCAATCAGCAGTGGATTGATCATGGTTGGTGATGATGGAGAAGAGTGGGTCGGGGGCCGCGAGGCCTCGTGAGAATTCATGATTACACGGCCTCATTAGAATCCAGCAGAGAATAAAGCAAGCTTTGAGAATTCATCATCACACGCTGTCATTAGAATCCAGCGGGGAATAAAGCAAGCTGGAGAATACCAATGTGATCGTGATGTATTTTAAAAAAAGTAAATCTTATTTTTTCTTCAATTTTTTTTTATATATAATGGAAGCGAACACCGTGGAGTATTGTATAGCTAAATATAGCCTTAAGTGTGAAGATATACCTCTTGTGCTAACGTTAAGCTCCTTTAATTGCCAAATACTATATGGCTAATGTAATTCATAATAAGTATTCGGTGATAGAGCGTGTGGGTGCAAACTCGATTCGAGTTGTGTACCCTCCACCATCCGACAAATCTTGTTGTCACCTGAAAAAATGTGCGGAACAGTTTTTGTTCTTCAACAATTCACATGCCTGTTTAAACAAATATCTCATCAGGAAACATTTTAAAACGTAACTCTCATGAGTCCCCATGGTGTTCAGTGCAGTATCCAGCGCTCATGAACTCTCTCTGGCCTCCCTATATGCGATGAAATAGGGCCATTGCCTGAAACGTTGCCTATCATGTTTTTTTTTATTTTAAGGCCAAAGTGTCTGTTGTTGTAACTTTATAACCCACCCCTAGTGGGCATGTGTGAAAAAAGAGCCTCATAGCTCGCATTTCTCCAGGATAAGTCAAGATTCTGATTCTGTTATTGACTAATCGTTTGATTTTTTTCCCCCTTTGAAAATTCAAACCCAAATTCAATTGGCACATTTGTCCAGCTGATAACTGGATTTGTTCGGCTGTGTCTGATTAACTTTGCGCCAACATGATCGAACCCAAAACACTTCATGTCGGTCGTGAACGCCTACACTGTGCATATGAAATTGTCTCATGTACATTTGTCCGAATATTGTTGTTTTTGTTGCATTGTGTGTACACGCGTGTTTTACCACGAGTGTTTCCCTAATAAATAAATTCGAGTTGTACCGTAATTTCTGAACAAGTAGACCTGCAGCTGAAGTGCGGACGCGTTGCTTCGTTGATGCCCGAGATGCAGTTGAATACAGTGCTATTTAAAACTTAGTTCTTTAAGCAGATTTCTCATGTATTTATGTACGCATGTTGAACTTCTTTCGCACCATACGCCGCCAACCGTGTGTGGGGTTAACGCGATGCAAATCGTGCAGCGGTATTAGTAATAAAGTGACGACGTATTTGCGAAAACTATGTAAAAGGGGGAGACTAAATGGAGGGTATTGCCGTACCGTACTAGCCAGACCCGATGGTGAATTGTGTCGTGACTGCATCGTTATTACCTCAATGCGTTGTGAAACTCCCAAGCCCGTTGGGCTGAGAGGCGCCCAGAAGATGGCAGCACATCACGTGTCTTTCGTGAACCAGTCCGTGCAGAACTTTAAACGTTTCCTCCTAATTTCCCCAGTTTCCTGCCCACGTGAAGCAAACAAACACGCTCATTCATGGAATTGACCAAATTTTGAAACTTGCCAGTGTTGCTCGGCCCTCCTTAAAATGAGAATCCGATGAGCTATAAAAAAAAATAAGAATGATAATTTACATACAGACGGCGCATTTCATCCAAGGATCCTAATGCGCCGTGGAGGGAAAGCAGGGGAACAAGACAGAGCCAGCAGCGTGAACGACCTAAACTATGGGGAAAAGGACATTTTTAAGAGGTGAGTTTTCAGGGCAGATTTAAATAGCACCAAAGACTATCATTGTCTTATTGTCAGAGGCAACGCGTTCCATCGTCTTGGAGCTGCACTACCAAAAGCCCGATCGTCCCAGGAACGGAGCTTTTTCACAGGTTTCAAGTTTCATTTATTAGGTATAGCCCTGTGAGCTATGCGGCTCTTAAGTCGGGTGCAACCACAACAAACAAAATATGAATCTACATTGCAGAAAACTATTACACCACAACCAGACCAAAATAAAGCTACAAAACAATGTAACATCAGTAATCACAAGAACTGTGATTTTAAATTTAACAATAAACGATATACAAAACACGTACGACAAAACCTGCAGCCATAGCTGGCAGCACGACACTCCCAGTGTATGATGTGTGAGTGAGTCAGCAGGAGCGTGAGTGAGTGTATGATGTGCGAGTCAGCGTATGATGATTGAGTCGGTATTAGGTTGAGTGAGTGTATGATGTGTGAGTCAGCGCACGATGTGTTAGTCAGCGCATGATGAGTGAGTCAGTGTATGATGTGTGAGCGAGTTAGCGGCAGTGTGAGTTAGTGTATGATGCTCGAGTGAGCCAGCACAGGATAAGTGAACCTGTGTATGATGAGTGAATGGGTCAGTGGTTGTGCGAGTGTATGATGTGTGAGTAAGTAAGCGCATGATGTGTGAGTGAGTAAGGGCATGATGAGCGAGTCAGTGCATGATGTGTGAGTGAGTCAGTGCATGGTGTGAGTGAGTCAGTGTATGATGTGTGAAAAAGGTGTCAAGTAGGGGGCAGGTCAGAACGTTACAGAGTCTTGAGATGCGGGGGGTGGGGGGGGGAAACACCTTCCCTAGGTAAGCACACACATTAAAGTTATAGCCCACAAGCACGTACGTGGTGGTGGGGGGGGGGCACAGCGGACTTGCAATTTAGATGTCTCCGTTTCCTTTCTGGTGAGCGACAGTTGAAGCAATGGTGCGAGTTTCCTAACCCACCGCCTGTGTCCACCCAGCAGAATAAGCGGGTACACCACAATCGATGGGAGAGTCACGTGTGGTGGGGTAAAGTGTGGGTACTCCCACCTCCACCGCAATATCTGCCAAGTGGTCGTGGGGGGGGCGGGCTCTTCCGCCAGCAAGCAATTGCAGGGCTGAACCTTTATCTTCTTTGCAGTTCACCCGATGCTGGCATCGGTCCAGGGGTCGTGCGTTACTCCCACTACCACCCCCGAATCGAACACAGTAATGCCCCGGTTTACATCGGGGATGCGTTCCTGACAGGTGCGAGGACGAATATCGACACAACGCCATGACCGGGCCTATCCCAACCCCTCCGTATCAATACATCTCGCTTTGCTGCAGCATCAAAACTACACCACGTACAACACCAATTCTTAATTTCAAATGATTGTCACGCCATGCACAATTTGAAAATTGCTGTGAAGCGCCTTGGTAAATCGGGGTATGACGAGTTGCAACCAGTTTTTTTTTTGCCAAATCGTTCAGCCACCGCCCCCCCCCTTCCCGCGTGGGAAATCCGAGAGGCGGATGAGAGCTCCGTTTCCTCCTCTATCGCTCTGCGCGCGCCCACGTGTCCAGATATCGCTTTGCAAAGGGGGCCCCTGGCCGCTGATTTATATGACCAACGCTAACAAAGCAAAAAAAAAACGGGCTGTCGGGGTTAAGTGTTGTTAGCGAGCGCCTATTTAAACAAGCAAGGCTCACAACGGGGGTGGTGTAGCCAATAACCAGCACCATGGCCGGCTGCCTTTGTTTCCCCAGTGCTGATGTTTGCACACACAACAACGCCAGGACCTATATTTATAGGGGAAGCACGCAGCTTGATTCTGATATCACACCCCACTGATGTTCGCCGTGGCCAGTAAATTGAATGCAGGTGGCTGGGTTCGCAGCGCAGTGCGTTACTCTCGGTCTGCGCCACCGCTCCCAACACAATCGCACAAGACAAAGATTCCCCATATAGCCTCTAATAAAAGACTTGCAAGTGCTGTGAGCGAGCACCTATGAAGGCCGGCACGGCATACGAGGGGGTGCGGTTGGTCAACACCACGCCCGGCCGCATTTGTCTCCCCAGTGGCGATGTTTACACTTACCAGGTACTCATTTGAGGCTGAGTCGATCTAGGGGAGGCCCAGGACCGGGTTCAGATAATCGCCATTGGTGTTCCCGGTGAACGAGATTCGAACTCGGGTCGTCAGGTTCGCGCAGAGCGCTAACCGCTGCACCACCGCTCCCCACACTATCACACGTCAACACGCACGCGCTGTCACGAGGTCAGGGCTGAGGGCAGCTGAGCTCATGGAAACCAGCCCGAACAATTGACCGCTGCACCCGGCAATTGACGTCTGATTTGTTCAAATAAACTTTGCTGTAGTGCCGTAGTTAACAAAGCAAACAACGCTGATAGCGATGTGGGAGTCCGAAAACCAACCCGGCACAATTAATCTCGAGGAATCCACGCGGGACGAAAGAGGTGACGTTGAGAACAATGCATTGCGATTTTGGTCAAAGCAAACCGTAACTCCACGTTAAGGCCATCATCGGGCGGTGCGTATACCCTCCTGTCGACAGATCCTGAGCCAGTGGTGGAAATTCCACATTCCAATGTTGGAGGACATACCATGTTTATTGTAGAAATTACTGTTGAGTCGACCATCGGGACTGGGATTTGAACTCGCAGCTTCCTTGGGTTTGACACGGGTGTTCTCAAATACATTTCTGGATGAAGGTCTCCACACGCCTTGCCTGTCTTGGGGGAGGTTGTTTGACCATACTTCACCACACTGGTCAGTGCGAATTGGTGAAGGGAAGGCATATAACGGTGCAAATATCGCTCGCCACGAATACTCGCCGTTAAATAAATGCGTTTAGGACGCAGTGGTTGCGGTTTAAGTGGAAATAAACCACATGTGATCGTCCCAATTATAACCGTCTGTGATTGAATGCAATCCTGCCGTGAAAATAATGGCGTGCCACAGTGATGTTAACTCCCTCGCCTGGGGTATAGGAGGTCGTGGGTTTGATCCCAACCCTGAAGCCTGCTGAATATTTGGATCTGGATGTCGTTCTCCTCGTGGTCGCGTGCATTTTTCTCCGGGTCCTCCGGTTTCCCCTCCACGTTTAGAATCAACGCGCGTCTAGAGTATTTGGCTGCGATAAATGTCCACAGGACAAGCTAATTTCGTTGAGCTATAATTTGTGGCCAGATTGCTTCTAAAAGAATAACTATTTAGCTCAGTGGGCACTACCCGGTAAACAAAAAAAAAGTTTCATAGTTTTCAGTGTAATCTACAGCACAAGACGCCAGTCGTGGTAATGCAACCGAAACTATGAACCATTGAGAATAATAAAACGACACGAACTCTCTCCCGAAGCCCTCTCGTCGTGGCCAGCACACCTCGATTTTGGACACATTGCCATACGCAATTACATAGAGAGATATAGAGACTCATGCAGATACATATTGTACTCATAGAGACATCGAGACCCATACACAGTCCTGTACATTAATTGCTAAGTCACAGGTAGTGCTATTGTGGCCATGCAACCCAAGCTATGGAGCTCACAGTAAACCGACAGTAGTCTGCGCTCCTCCAACAGAGGAGGAAGAATAGCAACGCCACACGAACTCTAAACTCCTGAAGCTCGACTCGTAGTGGCCAGCAGACCTCGATATGTGGGCTTCTAGCCCAGGGGTCGGCAAACCCGCGGCTCCGGAGCCGCATGCGGCTCTTTAGGGACTGCATTGCCGCTCTTCGAAATATTGAGGGAGAGGGGGTTACCGATTTCAGAAAAAAAGTCTCTTTTGTTATTTTGGTTGCCGACCTGTGACCTTGGGAGTCCAGTGTACCATGGGAGTCCAGTTTACCGTGGAAGTCCAGTGTACTATGGGAGTTCAGTTTACCATGGAAGCCCAGTTACCATGGACAGGAGTCAGCAATCTGCCACACCGAAGCAGCATGCGGCTGCCAAATTGCATTGCGGCTCCTGAAATGCAGAGTTTTCTTTCATACCGAATTCGAAACAAAAATAGTTCTAGTTGTTAGTTGTGTTTCATACCCCTGTATTCTATAGCCCCTGTGAACACGGTTGTAGCTACTGCTGCAACAGCTGCTGCTGCTGCTGCTATCATCGCCCTCGAGCAGCGTCTCGAGGGCGCCACGGTGGCTGGGAGATGTTAACTACCTTGCCTGGTATGCAGGAGATCCGTGGGTTCGATCCCGACCCTGACGCCTGCTGCTGCTGTATATTTGGAGTTTGTGGGGTCTCTCTCCCCGTTTTCGCGTGGATTTTTCTCCGGGCCCTCCGGTTTTCCCTTCCACATTTACAATCAACATCACGCGTTTAGAGTCCTTGGCAACTGCTGCAAATTTCCACTTGATAAGCCACTTTGCTGAGCTATCATTTGCGATCGCTTCTGAAAAATATTTTTTTTAACTTTTTTTTTAAAACACGCTTAATGAAATGTACCCTACTAGTAATGTAAGAACTCCACAACTCCAGAAAGTGGCCCCGAAGCTTGCCACAACGTAAATGACAATTATACCCAAGGCGAAACATAACATATAAAAAATAACGTTTCAAAATATTTATTTGTATTTTTTAATGATAGAATATAGTATTGTCATCAGTATGACATAAGTATACCAAGTTTGCAGTCGATACCACATTGGGAAGTGGGTTAAAATTGAGTTACAAGATTTGAGGAATACAACAACAGTGAGTTAATAAAAAAGCGTTAAATAGTAATACGAATATAAAGAGCTACGTGCAGCTCAGTGTGTGTGTGTGGGGGGGGCTTTATCTGCTAAAATAAAAACAATGTTTATAGTTAAAGTCACGTAGAAGGGAAACAATAAAATAATAAAAATATAAAACAATAAAATTATCACGACGTTTCGACTGCAACACAAGCAATCATCATCAGGTGTGAAAACCACAGCAAGAAAATTTGAAAAAAGAGGCGGTTATTTTTAACGTTAGCACCACGGAGTGCGATCTGGTAGTTATTCAGGTGGACGAGTCCATCTATGTTCGGAAAAGAGGAGGGGGGAAACAAAAAAATAATGGATGCGGTCTGAAAGCCACCGTAAGCGTGAACAATCAATTAAGACCCGAAATGGTTTATCAAATCCTTCCAATGATTGCTAAGCCAGAATCCATCTTCTCGGTGGAAATTGTCTCTGTTTGTATATGTGGATAGCCTCATGAACGAATCTCTCATGGTAGCCAGATGGCTTTGCAAAGAACCTCTGTCTTGGAGAAGTCAATGTCATGTGAGCCTACTGAATTATAACAGTGATCTGCCACAGCCGAGGTGTTGGTCCTACCGTGTTTTAGGTCTGCTTTGTGTTCACGAATGTGGTCCAAGACATGTCGTTTGGTTTCTCCAATGTAACTACTACCACAGAGGCAACTTAGTTTGTAGACGCCAGGAATCACATCTTTTACAGACGGAACCAGATCACGGATTTTATGTAATGTGTTTAATCGGACCTGGATCTTGTGTTTATTCAAGATTTTGGAGATCTTTTTTGTGATCTCCGCAGTGTAGGGTAAAGTGGTGGTTTTGAAAGGCTCCTCAAGAGGGTCCTTCTTCATGGTTGGAGTGATAGCTTTGCGGATTGTGTAGTCGGAGTAACCATTAGCCTTAAGAGCTTGGTGTACGTGCTTGAGTTCACTGGCTATGTGTTCCTGGTCGGATATGCATTGGGCTCTATGGTGCAGAGTCTTGATGAGGGAATTCTTCTGGGATGGATGGTGGTGGGAATCCGGTTTCAGGTAAGCATCCGTATGGGTAGCTTTCCTGTAGACAGAGTGGCTCATTGAACCATCAGGTCTCTTTTAAATTAGGACATCCAAAAAAGGTAGCTTGCCATCTTTTTCGACTTCCATGGTAAATCTGATGGCTGGGTGTATGGAATTGATGTGGTCGAAGAATTGGTCTAGAGTAAGCCGGCCATGTGGCCAGATGACAAAAGTGTCATCCACGTACCTCTTCCATAAGGTTGGGTGCAGAGTGGCAGTCTGGATGGCGTCAGTCTCAAATTTCTCCATGAAAATGTTGGCTCCAACCGGAGATAGGGGGGAGCCGATTGGGGTGCCCCTCAGTTTGTTTGTAGAAAGTTCCATTCCAAGTGAAGTATGTATTGGTTAAGCAGTGTCTCACCAGGGGGGGTACCTCAGTGTTTAGTCCTTGATGAACCAAGTCTTCAATGATTGCGATGGTGTCAGGTACAGGAACTTTGGTGAATAAGGAAACTACATCAAAACTGACATTTCGGGTCTTAATTGATTGTTCACGCTTACGGTGGTTTTCAGACCGCATCCATTATTTTCGTCTACCCCCTCCTCTTTTCCGAACATAACGTGGTGCTAACGTTAAAAAAAGACCGCCACTTTTTTCAAATTTTCTTGCTGTGGTTTTCACACCTGATGATGATTGCTTGTGTTGCAGTCGAAACGTCGTGAAAATGTTATTGTTTCATATCTTTATTATTTTATTGTTTCCCTTCTACGTGACTTTACCGAAAGAACCAAGAATATTAATCCCTGCAGTCACGAAAGCTTTAAATAAAAATGTTTAGAGTTGTACAGAGCGGACCAACCCACTCGTGGTCCTGCGCTGCCGCCTGGCGTCCACGCAAGGGAATGGTGGCAAGTGCCGCTGGCGGTGGTGGTGGAGCTGGTGGTGGTGGAGCTGGTGGTGGTGGCGGTGGTGGAGCTGGTGGTGGAGCTGGTGGTGGTGGCGGTGGTGGAGGAGGTGGTGGTGGTGGTAGCGGTGGTGGAGGAGGTGGTAGCGGTGGTGGTGGAGGAGGTGGCGGTGGTAGCGGTGGTGGTGGAGGAGGTGGTGGAGGTGGTGGAGGAGGTGGTGGAGGTGGTGGTGGTAGCGGTGGTGGAGGAGAAGGTGGTAGAGGTGGAGGTGGTAGCGGGCGCAGTGCAGTGGTTAGCGCGTCGCGCCACGAACCCGGCCACCCGATTTCGATTCCCGCTCACGGCCAACGCCGGCGACGATTATCCGGACCGGTCCCCTGGGCCTCCACTAGGTCGACTCAGCCTCAAACGAGTACCTGGTGCGGCGTGTAGTAAAACAGCGCCCCTGGGGGAGACAAAGGCGGACGGGCGTGGTTCTGGCCACAAGGCCCCCTTCGCGTGTTTGCCTTCATAGGCGCTCGCCAACATCACTTTGCCCCAACAGTCTGTTAAAGACTACAACGGGAGATCTTTATCTTTGGAGGTGATGGTGGTGGTGATGGTGGTGACAGTGTGTGCGTGCAGGCTTGTTGTGAGCTTACACTGTACCGCCCCCCCCTCCGGACCACAAGCCACACGGATGTGAGAGAGCGAGAATTGATAAATAAAATAAATAAAATAGTGATAGAAGAAGGTGGGCCCCATGCGACGCCGCCGACTGCCGCCTTCAAGGTGAGCCTCTCCGTAGGAAGGTTACAAACTTGTTGTTGTTGTCATTGTTGTTGTTCGCCACTGCGTGTTCCTACCGCAATGTGGTGCGCGAGGTGTTGACGGCACAACACGGAGCGATGGGTTCCCTTCCATGATACGTGGCTAGGACGCGGCTGATTGTAGCGTTAAAGGGGATCGCTTGTTCGTCACCTACCTCCCCCTCGCCGCCTCTCCTGATGTCTACGACAGTCCCGTAGTGTTTGGTGGTGGTTGTTGTTGTTGTTGGTGGTGGTTGGTGGTGGTGAGTGGTTGATGGCTCGCGGGCGGAGAGCCTTCGTCCAGCAGTGGATGGATCGTGGCTGCCGCTTCGACCGCCGTTGCGGCTGATGGCGATATCACGCGCACGTGTGTGATTTGTAATATATATACTTTAGTGTATATACTGTAGTGTATATACTGTACCATCGTGTGATATACTGTCGTGTATATACTGTAGTGTATATACTGTACCACCGTGTGATATACTGTCGTGTATATACTGTAGTGTATATACAGTACCACCGTGTGATATACTGTCGTGTATATACTGTAGTGTATATACAGTACCACCGTGTGATATACTGTCGTGTATATACTGTAGTGTGTATACTGTAGTGTGTATACTGTAATGTATCGACTGTAGTGTATATACTGTACCACCGTGTGATATACTGTCGTGTATATACTGTAGTGTATATACTGTACCACCGTGTGATATACTGTCGTGTATATACTGTAGTGTGATATAATGTCGTGTATATACTGTAGTGTGTACTGTACCACCGTATAATATACTGTAATGTATAGACTAGTGTGTACTGTACCACCGTATAATATACTGTAATGTATAGACTAGTGTTTACTGTACCACCGTATGATATACTGTAATGTATAGACTGTAGTGTTTACTGTACCACCGTATGATATACGGTCGTGTATAGACTGTAGTGTTTACTGTAGCACCGTATGATATACTGTAATGTATAGACTGTAGTGTACAGTACCCCGTACATAGCTGATATAACAATTTAGGATGTGAGAATTGTAAGGTTGTGTAACGTTTGATGCTTCGCACAGATTGCAATGTCGCTGTTGTGAATTTCCGCCAATCGGATATGAAATAGCCCCCTGTGTGTGTGTGTACTGTGTACATATTGTACACACGTGATGTTTGTGTACGGTGTTGCTGTGTGCTTGCTGTGAGCTTCGCTAATAATGTACTATAATGACAATCACAGTGCCACTGCATTGTTAGTGTTAGTAAGCGGCAGTTGTCGAATCCGGGCTGGCGATTGCTGTACCTTAGTGGAATACTTGATAGCCAGATGGTCATATGTAGTAACATCGTCGTCGTCATCGTCATCAGCCATGCTCAGTCCACTGCTGGATGAAGGCTACGATATTCAGAAGGTAAAACAATCTTGAACTGATCCCATCGCTCCATCTCCTCGTCAGACGTCCTCGAGTCTGAGCCGTGGACGTTGCCCTGACCCCGAAGTGCCACCGACTCTTATCTTCTCTTCGCATGAACCCTCTTGACGATGTTGGTTGTTAACCTACAGCCCCCCATGAACCCTCTGGACGATGTTGGTTGTTAACCTGCAGCCCCCCTTGAAGCATCTGGACGATGTTGGTTGTTAACCTGCAGCCCCCCATGAAGCCTCTGGACGATGTTGGTTGTTAACCTGCAGCCCCCCATGAACCCCCTGGACGATGTTGGTTGTTAACCTGCAGCCCCCCATGAACCCCCTGGACGGTGTTGGTTGTTAACCTGCAGCCCCCCATGAACCCCCTGGACGATGTTGGTTGTTAACCTGCAGCCCCCCATGAACCCCCTGGACGATGTTGGTTGTTAACCTGCAGCCCCCATGAACCCCCTGGACGATGTTGGTTGTTAACCTGCAGCCCCCCATGAACCCCCTGGACGATGTTGGTTGTTAACCTGCAGCCCCCCATGAACCCCCTGGACTGTGTTGGTTAACCTGCAGCCCCCATGAACCCCCTGGACGATGTTGGTTGTTAACCTGCAGCCCCCCATGAACCCCCTGGACGATGTCGGTTGTTAACCTGCAGCCCCCCATGAACCCCCTGGACGATGTTGGTTGTTAACCTGCAGCCCCCCATGAACCCCCTGGACGATGTTGGTTGTTAACCTGCAGCCCCCCATGAACCCCCTGGACTGTGTTGGTTAACCTGCAGCCCCCATGAACCCCCTGGACGATGTTGGTTGTTAACCTGCAGCCCCCCATGAACCCCCTGGACGATGTCGGTTGTTAACCTGCAGCCCCCCATGAACCCCCTGGACGATGTCGGTTGTTAACCTGCAGCCCCCCATGAACCCCCTGGACGATGTTGGTTGTTAACCTGCAGTCCCCCATGAACCCCCTGGACGATGTTGGTTGTTAACCTGCAGCCCCCCTTGAACCCCCTGGACGATGTTGGTTGTTAACCTGCAGCCCCCCATGAACCCTCTGGACGATGTTGGTTGTTAACCTGCAGCCCCCCATGAACCCCCTGGAATCCAGAGGGTTCATGGGGGCCCTCTCAATGTAACCCCAAGCTTGCATCTTCTTCCACACTTCTTTGCACACTTACGTTGAGCACAGTACATTTAAAATACATATATATTTTGTACGGATAATAATAACAATAATAGACAGTTGTGTAGGTAATAGTATATTGCTGGCTAAGATTATAGGTATGACAACTAAACTATGTTGTTTATTTTACTGGTTTTAGGCCCCACTGGGCAGATCGCGTGTACAAGCGACCTGGCTTACGCATGGCCGTTCAACTGAAGTGCGTTCACTGTGTGGACATTTATAGCAGTAACAAAATACTCTAAACGCGTGATGTTGATTCTAAATAAACCGGAGGACCTGGAAAAAAAATCCACGGGAGTCATGGGGAGACAGACACCCCGAAAACTCCAAATATACAACAGGCGTCTGGGTCGGGATCAAACCCATGACCTGTATACCAGGCGAGGTAGTTAACATCTCGCCACCGTGACGAGCCAGTACGTATCCAGTACGTGGGGACTGGGTTGTGGGTACTGGGTCCATGTTGGTCGTTACGTACTGGCTCATCGTGGTACCCACGTTTTAACCCCACCAGACGCGATCTGCCCATAGCGACTCGCTTTAGAGTCGCCCTTTCACCACCGCTGGGTGAAACAGAGGCGGGTGGATTGAGGAAACGTGCCCATTGTTTCAACTTCCGCTCCTGGAGATCGAACCAGCGTGCTCAAAAGGCATCCAATAGACCAGTGGTTCTTAACATGGGGTACGAGACATGACCAGATTTTCTAGAAGGTAAATCATCGAAAAAAAATCAAGCACGGGCACTTAAGTACAACTACATTTTCTTTGGTTCTTTTCGGTAAAGTCACGTAGAATGAGAATAAAATAATAAATTGATAAAATAAAATAACGCAATAATATTCTCACGACGTTTCGACCACAACACAAGCGGCCTTCATCAGGTTAAATCGAAATACAACTACATTGTGTCATTAAACCCTCTATGTATTTGTTAACATATATATTTGTTAATAATTGAGAACCAAATTGAGTGCCAGGCTGCAGTAGTAAAGATTAAGAACCACTGCCACAGACAATGCGTATCACAAATATATGACGTTGGACTATGAGCGATTACGTCAAGGCTTTCTCTTGGCGTGTGGGGAAATTACATTCTTATTCCTAGCATTTGCAGGGGTGAGGAGGCATGGGTGACTCATGCTAACAGTGGAGTGGTGGTCATGCCTGTGTGTCCATGTCTGGCGTTGGTTTGAATGTCTGAATTCCTCTTGTGCCCTAATGCAGGAAGTGAGATTGAATCACGTGTTGCCCTGTCACCGTTTCATTGTGGTCAACAACAAAAAAAATGCCCCTCCAGAGAATGTAGGTTAGCACGCGGCAAAAGAGCCTTGGGCTGCCACACATTCCAAAGGTTCAATTGCCGCACCCTTTGCGTTGCTACTTACCGTGGCGGTCAACACCTGTTGCCGCATCGCCTGGGATGCACCCGACCTGGTCGAATCTCGGAAGCTAAGCAGGTACGAGCCTGGATAGCTCTTGCGGATGGGCTACCGCCGCACATTAAACAGATATCATTGGCTGCTGTGCGGTGTATGTTGTGAGAAGCAGAGTGCAGCGCAGCAAGATGCATTGTTTTACTGAGCCATGCTCCCATGTCCATTGCCAACCTGGGCTGGCCGGCGTGGTGAAGTACCGTCGGGTAATCCCCATAACCCGCACAGATTGGGGAGCCCCTCATCCAGCAGTGCGTTCACCCAAGGGCCGTATGTGTATACACTCCACACAAAGATCCCCCATATAGCCTAACAGACTGTCGGGGCAAGTGCTCTTACCGAGCAGCACCTATGAAGGCCGGCACGGCACACGAGGGGGTGGGTGGCCAGCGTCACACCCAGCCGCCTTTGTCTCCTTATTAGCGATGTTTACTGCACACCGCACCAGGTACTTAGGGAAGGCCCAGGACCGGTACAGATAATCGTCAGTGGTGTTGGCCGTGAGCGGGAATCGAACTCGGGTCGTCGGATTCACCGCTACACCACCACTCCCTCCGTATATGTGACCGTGTACACAATACACGGCCACATATACAGCTGCAATCACCATCATCAACTATTGGGTGGCAGGCGGCAAGGTTTTTCTTCACTCGTTGACACTGCACCTTTAAACAGCCAGAAAGGCAACATCTGCTGTATCACCTTGGAGCCAGCCGTACATAATAAATCCGTGATGGATCACGTATACATTCAATCCCGACAGAGATCCCAGCGGTGTCGACGTATCCGACGGAGTGAAAAGAACGAGATAAGGCCTCACTTTTGTTCGCCAGTGTGAGTGTGAATCGTGTGTGTGCGCGTGTGAAAGGGCCTCCATTAAATGCAGAGTCAGAACGAATTACTGCAATGGGGGGGACTGTTATGCTTTCAAAGCGTGGCACACTCACCACATCGTCACCCCGTGGGCCGTGTCGACACGGCCTGGCTAATGGAAGCTCGCAGCACAGCCCAGTACCGCGGTTCTGAACGCCGGTGGAGATGCCGTTGGGTGCCGCTGAGTGGACGGGTTTCCGAGTGTTGACAGATTTGGTTTTGTCACGGGCGCGCTGCAGGCGGTGGTCATTTGTGGGCCTAAATTCTCCGTCGTAATTAGCAAGCGTGAGCCATGCTGTGTCGTGGCCATATCTCAAAGTCCAATTCTGTACGTCGCCTGTACAGTGCTTTACACACAGATCACTTTGCACGTGTAATCTACTGGTTGCCAAGCTCTTTACAGAAGGGATCATACATTTCACCAGGCCCTCACGTGAATAAACAAAGGAGGATATTGGTTAAATTTCTAT